GGTCGTAAAGCTGTTCCCGACGGCGGCGCGCGCAGAGCCCCGCCCGCCCCGCCCCGCCCCGCCCGTCGGTAGCATCGCGCAGGGGCGGCGGGAGGGGGCAGAAGCTTTGGCCCCGGTGCTGGGGCCTGAAAAGCTGGGCGCGGGTAGGACAGACACGGGCCGAAGCTCACATAGAGCGGCTGCGGCAGGAAGCCTTAGCGGAGAGTGTGGGTGTGGGCGGTGTCTAAGTAAGGGTCAGGAGGCTGGGCAGGAAGACGAGCCTGCTAGTGTGTTGGAAACTAGATCCAGAGCCTGGAAGAGGCCGTGCAGGGGTCCAGTAACAGCTTGAGGTGCAGCACAGTTTACAGTAGCCAAGACCTGGAAACAGCCCAAGTGCCCATCAGTAGGTGAGTGGATAAAAAGCTGTGGGACATTTACACCGTGGAATACTACGCAGCTGTAAAGAAGAAGAATCTCGTACCCTTTGGGACAGGATGGATGGACCTGGAGAAAATTATGCTAAGTGAAACAAGCCAGGCAGAGAAAGACAAACATCACATGGTCTCAGTTATATGTGGAATCTAAAGAACTTAATAAATTGATGGACAGAATAGATTCAATGACATGGAAGCATGGATCAGACTGAGGAAGGTCAGAGGGAGGGTGGGTGGAGGGGGAGAGAGTAACCAAAGAATTTATATGCAGATATGCACAACCCAAGGACATGGACAAGGGTGGGGAGAGGGACTGGGGAGGGGGAAGGAACAGGGTGGAACGGGTCATTGGGGAGAAAAAGGGACATCTGTAATATTTTAAACAAAAATAAAATTAAAAAACAAAACAAAAAACGTATACAATTTGAGGTGCAGGCTTTGACGCCAGTTGGCCGCCTTGGTCACATGCGAAAGGCACAGATCATTGACAGCCATCATGAAAGCTGTTTTCTCCAGGAAAACGCACGCATGCAGTTTTTGTAGAGTTTGGAGGTAGGACTTGAGATACCGTCTTCCTGAAGCCCATCCATCATCTCCTTGATTCATGAGCCGGAATTGAAGAACCCCTCTCGTTAACATACAGAAAGGAAAAGGTGCTGTTTCCAGTTTCTTCCCACCAGAATTGAGGTCACTCGAAGCCTTTGACCAGGACAAAGTTTTGTGACTACCCATCAGACCAAATTACATGTCCTTATTGTCATTCTAGTGCCAATTGACATAACTTCCTTGAAAAGTCTTTCAGGATAGGACCCTCCACACTCCCTTGGTTTTTCTTCTAGTTTTTTTCTCAGCCTCTTTGGTGGACTCCTCTACCTCACTTCAAAATATTGCACTACCACAGGGGTCCCTTCTCAGCCTTGTCTCACAAAGTGATCCCCAGAGTACCATAGCTTTAAATACCATCTACTCCCATTTTCATAGTCTAGTTCCAACTTCTTCCCTATTTGGCATCTTGTTAGATCTTGGGGTATAAAATACATCTCAAACTTAACATGTCTAAACAGAATTCTAATTTTATTCCAAATCTTCTTTCTCTCTACACTGCCTTATGAGGACTTAATATCATAATTTGTGGCCCAACATTTGTATTTCTGAGGTTTGCACTCTGA